CACACACACACACACACACACACACACACACACACACACAATCACATTCACACACACTGCTCACCCGTGCTATCGTCCCACCCCGCATCCCGCATCTGCTGCTCCATCTCCTCGGCAGCAGTGCCATCCATCATCCGCCCCAGCAGCTCCGCGGCAGCTTCCAGCAGGCGGGGTGCAGACCGCAGCTGCTCAGGGTAGCCGCTGCGGCCAGTTGGTGCGCAAGTCTCGCTCACGACCAGGGGAGCAAAGTGCATAAAGCTGTCCAGTCTGGATGCCTGCCGCGCTCGCAGCCCAGGGCTGGTCGACACTGGATCCTCGCCCACAACTGCCAGCCCCACGCGTTTCGCAAAGCGAGACAGCCGAGCAAACCACCCTGCCACGAAAGTGGAGCCCTGCGCCCCCCCTCAGCGCCGCACCTCTCCTCGTCCACCTGCATGGCCTCAGCCAGCGTCGCCACTACCGCCGCCCTGTCGCCCGCGCGGCCGGCCTCGGACAGCGTGCCGATGCGTTCCACCGCCATCCCCACATCGACAGACAGGTTGGCCAGCTCGTCCGCAGCGGCGTTGTCCTCCCTAGCGCGGTAAAGCAGCAGCAGGCTTGGATGTGCGGTTGGCAGGAAGCAAGAATTCCTGCCAATGGCACGCAAACACCCACGAACCCACCCAACCCCCACCCATCAACCCAACCACACACACACACACACACACACACACGCACGTACACACACACACGTATGCATAAATGCATGCATGCACCGCACATACACACATAGCGAGCAATCAAGCGCGGCGCGGCAGCAGGTTCTCTTCCAGGGGAGCGCTGACCTGTAAATGTGGGAGACCTCTGCCGACTCGAACCAGCCCTTGAGGCGTTGCGCCTCCCTCAGCAGCGGCATCAGCCGCGGCTCCTTGCAGCGGTACTCCCCGTTGACCTGGGGTCACCGCCGTTGGGGTTTTGGCGAGGTGAGGGACTCAGGGCTGCGAGGGTTTTGCGACTGGGGCCCAACTTTACCCACCACGGGCTGATTTGTTCATTTGTGGTGCGCACTTGCTCAACAACATAGGCGAGGCATCCCAGCGGAAACGGCAGCAAGAGCAGAGGGGCAGCAGCAGCAGCAGCAGCTGCAGCAGCAGCAGCAGCTGCAGCAGCAGCAGCAGCAGCAGCAGCTGCAGCTGCAGCAGCAGCAGCAGCAGCAGCAGTAGCAGCAGCAGCAGCAGCAGCAGCAGCAGCAGTAGCGGCAGCGGCGGCAACAGCAGCAACGGCAGCGCAGCAGCAGCGACCTTGCCCCTCTGTGCCCACCTGTCTGACCACGAGCTGGCTGTCGCCCTTCGCCACAACGTGTGATGCGTTGAGGCGGCGCGCGCGCTGGGGGCGAGGCGCACATGGCGGCACGTGCGCCAGGTGGAAGGTGGTCGTCGTCAGGGCCGCGCGAGGGCAGTGCGGTTCAGTTTAGTGCACCATGGACCGCTCCCTGGCTGTAGGTTTGACCCCTCGACCGTCGTGGCGCAGATGCCCTGACAACAGCCCGCTTCCTAGCCCCCCAGTCCTCTGGCAACAGCCCGCGCCTCACACACGTGCCCCAGACACTGGGCCCTATGTCCCCACACCAGACCCTCAAGTCTCTTGCCTCTCAATCAGCCCCCGCGCCCTCTCACCTCCAGCCCCGCGATCAGCCCCTCGTACTCGGCTTGGTTGTTGGTGGTGCCGTGGGGCAGGGAGCGGCACCCGCTGTACACCTGCGGCGCAGGGAGCGCGACGGCGCGCACATCGTGGATGTGCGGGCTTCATCCGGCAGGCAGCTGGCTTGTGAGGTGGCGCTCAACCTGCTTCGGCAGGCTGGCCTGCGAGGCGGCCATGCCGCGGTGACGCTCTGGTGTGTGCATCGACCCTCGAGTAGCGCTCCCTCACCAAACCGCCCGGTGACACACCTTGTCGTTAGTCAGCCTGTCAACCAGGACGTAACCGTAGCCGGCGTAACCGGGGTTGCCGCGGGAGGCGCCGTCGAAATACTGCAAGGGGGGGCGGGTGTCAGGTGGGTGGCATCTCAAGGTGTGATGGATATATTTTTGTTCGCCATAATGGTGGCAGGCCACGTCTACCAACAGCAGGGCCCTTGCGAGAGGCAAGGGCGTCCCAGAAGGGCGCATGCTTGGCAGGCCGGGCTTGCAGCTACAGCAGGGCTCACCCGCGCTGATGGCCGCTGGTTTGGTGCGCTCATGCAACCTCCTAGACTCTGAAACACAACTGATACCCACCACAGTCACAGACAGCGCCTCTTCCAGCCCCTCCTCTTCCTGCTGCTGCTGCTGCTGCTGCTGCTGCTGCTGCTGGCCCAGCGCCGCGCCCTCCTCCCACTCTTCAATTGAACCCTGAAGAAGGGGCTGCTGCTGCGGCTGATGGTGTGGCGGCGCCCCGGCCACGATGGTGCCAGGTCGTTGCGCCGGCGGTGGCCCCTGAGGGGCACCTTCGTCCTGCCACTGCTCTTCGTCCCAGCTCCGCTTGACGCCCCGACTCTCCTGCTGTGGCTGCTGGTGCTGCTGGTGCTGCTGCTGCTGCTGAGGCTGAGGCTGAGGCTGCTGCGGAGGCTGTGGCCGTGCCTGCATGCTGGTGGCGCCTGCCTGCATCCATGCCAGCGCCTCTGCTTCAGAGTTGAACCCCTTGTATACCGCCCCTGGAACCCCGACCACCAACCGCTGCACAACCGCCCAGTTGCCACGGAACACGCCAGTCTGCCGGCCGCGCTTCACTGCGTAGTACTTGCCGCCGCCGCCGCCGCCGCCGCCGCCGCCGCCAGCTGGCGCTGCTTGTGCGCCCTGTGCACCTCGTTGGACAGCAGCGCCCGCGAAGCCGCCGCCACCGGCGGCCCCGGCGGCGCTACCAAACGCGAAGGCCTCGGCGTCGGCGCGGCTGGGGAAAGATTTGTAGATGGCCCCTGGGTACCCGTCCACCTGGACCTTAGCTTCCTCCCAGCTGCCATACACGCCTGTACGGTGCCCCTTGCGGACCGCGTAGTACTTGACCTTGCCCATGCTGTGGCTGTGCCCCAGCGCTCAAGCTTCTTATGCCGGCGCCACGGATGGGCCCGTGCTGTGCGCGTATTGCAGCGCTGCAGGCGTGCACGCTGCTTCAACGCTCTGCTGCTGCTCTTGGAATCCGCAGCTGCCAGCTGCACGCTGAACGAACAGCCTCAGCGTGCAGCGAAAGCGTGTTTTGCGCGGAGCCTGCGGCCAACTGAGTTTGATCTGCTGTGGCAATCGCGCGCGATCTGCAAGCAACGAGGGAGAACGGGGTTCTATAAAAAATATCTGATGAAGAAGCTGAGAAGCTCACGTAATTGTAGACGATATGACGGTGACAGCAGGCCATGCCGAGCCGACTGTGCCGCTGGCACTGCTGGTGACCCTGGCTGGCGCTGCGTTCAGTTATTCAGGTGGGGGATGGTGCTCAAGGGTTTTGCACACTTGAGGGCGCATGTTGCACGCTAAGCTTCTTGTAATAAGAGCACGTGGTTCAGGTGTTTTTCAAGACCACTGCCTTCAACTGCAAATCGCAGTGCAGCTTTCATACCCCATCATTCACACTCAGTCGTCTCTTCCTCACCCTATCCACACCCATGCACGCACACTTCTAAAGGCCCATTCAAAAATAACCAACGGGTCATGTTGCCAAATATCAATGTTTCGGCGGCAGCGTATTGCACCGCCCTGCAGAGCAATTCCTCAGAGTGGCAAGGGTTGCACACAGTCCAACACTTCGCTCAGCTCACGGTTCTCAACATGCTCTGTATGCACAGGTTGCAGCATAATTGCCACCCAAAAAAGCGGAAGAAGGCTGTCAGCAAATCGACGGTGGATGACAGTGACGCTTTGCTGCCGCCTTGCAGTCAGATGGCTGGCGCTGGCGGGCAAACAGCGCTGCCCAGCCTCAGCGAGCACAACTGCTGTCGCTCGTCACCACAGGCAGGCGTCGGCCAGAGCCGAATGGGTGTCGCAAATAGACCGTGGGCTGACTGCTTACCAAACCTCTGCCAATGCGCTGGCAGACTCACTCAGTAGCCGCCACCTGTGCCCGGTTCATTGCAGCCAGCCCCTGTGGATGGCATCCGTGGCCCACAGACCAGGTGCTGCAGCTCAGCCTTGTGCTGCTGCACCTGCGCCATTACTTTGACCAGATCACACTGGCTAGCTGCTGCCTTACCAGCCGCGGTCCCGTGGTGTCCATGGCCCACAGAGCGCAGGCCAACTCACCGCGGCTTGGGCCGCTTCAAGAATGGGCCATGACCGGCTGGCCCTGTCTGGTCTTGATAATTGTAAGTGGGCGCTTGGCTGCTGTTTGTGTAGGGCACCACATGCCAGGCCGTCCACCTACGTATGCACTTTGAAGCAAGCGGGGCAAACAGCGGTCTTGCTGCAACGTGCTAAAGCAGTCGCCCTACTGCATGTGTTGTTGGCAGCTGGCCCAGCATTCTGCAAGTGTTCGCTGTGATACAGGGTGATGTGGAGACCAAGGCTGGAAACCCAGGCGTTTATTACGGTGTTTTCAGTGAACGAATTGCTTTCTTAGGAATCTCTTGCGCGTGGACAAGCATCTGCATAAGCTTCTCGGGGTCTCGGAGTGGTGCCGGCGCGACGCAACGCGCCCAAGGGGGTAGGCATGCATGAGATGCTCCGTTGTGTGTAAACCACACTGTGTTGGCTGGCTGGCAGCAGGGACGCAAAGGGAACAGCCCAGTCAATAAAAAGACGGCAGCCCAAAGCCTGCGCCAAAAAAGGGCCACGAGCGAGAGGGTTCGCCTGGTTTTGGCCCGCCGCGCTTCAGGCGGCGGCCGTTGGGCACGGGTGTGTGTCATCGTCGGTGCGGCTTCAAGGGGACAGGTGTGCCTGCAGACTCTAGGGGAGCGGGGCGGCAGATCCAAAACGCGGCTGCAAGAATTGGCAGCAGGAGAGCGGCCGGCCGGTGCTGAGGCGGACGCGCTGCGGGTGAGGGCAGGGCTCGGGGCAAAAGCGGCCACAAGGCTGGGGCGGGCTGGACTTCTGGAGGGGTCCTCCTGGGAAGGTTCTTTGAGCCCGTCACTGTGTGCTTTTTTCGAGGAATTGGCTAGGGCCGTGGCGGGGTCAAAGGCACGGCTTCGCATAAAGAAACAGGAGGTGCCTTGCGTGGCGCTGCTTGTTATTTCGGCAAAGCAGCAGGGGCAGAGGCGCAGGGCTGTCTGTGCCGTGTTGCAGGCACCACATGTGCCCGGATGGCAGAGCCCCGCATGAGCCACCGGCGGCGACTCATGCGGAAGGCGGGCGCGTCGTCGGAGACGCGTCCCTTTTTGCAAGTGTGCTTGGATGCGTACTCACCCGCACGCATCCGGGGGGCAGGCCGTCTGCCTATTTGAAATGGTGGGGATGGTGGCGGGCGCGCGGCTTCCGCGGGGGGCGAGATGCGCAGGGGTTCGCGAGGTGGGGCCTCAAGGGGGGAGGGGCGCCGACCACGGCGGCCCGCGATGAGGGGCGCAGCATGGCTGTCGCAAGGAGGGGCGCGCTGATGGCTCAACGTGCGTGCGCGACGCAAGGTCTTGCGCGGCGCGCGCACGACGCGATCAGCGGATGCACATGCAGCGGTGTTGACGGCGGCGCGCGCTGGGGACGCCGGGGCGCGGGCGCGCGCGCGCTCTGCCTGCGCGCAAGGGGCCCGCAGCGAAGCGGGCAAGCAAGGCGGCCCATGCACGCTCTCTGTGGTGAGGCGCGGAGTGATGGCAGCGTGTCGCAGTACGCGCGCACCCGCCGCAGCGCATTGCCGGAGTGCGTGCACATGGTGTGGGCGGAGGACAGGTCCCGGGGCCAGCGCCTCCGGCGCCGGCGGCCGGGCGCGGCGCTTCAAAAAGGGGGATGGGGCTGGTGGCTAGTTCTGCTTGGTTGTTGGGGGGCGCTGGGGGTCCAGCGTCACGCGCGGGCCGGCAGCAGCAGGATCGATGCAAAAACGGGAGGCGCGACGCGCGGCGCCTTGGAGGGTACACACTCGCCAGGCTTGAGCAGAGAACAGGCGCCGGCGCCGGCGCTCGCACGGCCGAATCCCGGGGCCGCACGCATGCTGCCGCGAGGCCGCGCGCTCCCTAAAGTGCGCGCGCGAGGCGGCGTGGGGCCCGACCCGAATTCCAAGGGGCGCAGCAAAGGGGCGACCCCGCTCGGTCCCAGCGCACCCCTGCTTGCGAGGCCCACCTCCTGCGCTCTCTTCATAGCTGCGCGCTGGTAGCGCCGGGGCCTGCGGCTGGCACTTGCGCGCCTAGGAGGGGCGCGCCTGAAACACGTGGTAGGAGGACGCCTTGCGCCCAAGAGCGGCGGGAGGCGCCGGCGCGCCAGCCCCAAGCAGCGCATGTCGCGCCTCAGGCCAGGCGCGATGCGGGGAGCTGCGCGCGCGCGCCCTCGCCGCCGCACCCGGCCGCAACTCGGCACGGGCCCGCCCTTTCACAGGGCTCGGAACACGTCAAAGCCCGCGATCGCACCGCCGCTGATCGCGGCCGCGGCCGCCATCTGCTGCGCCATGTACCACCGCTTCTGGCGCCCGCCGCGGCAGCCGCGGCGCGTCTTCTTGACGGGCGTGGACCCGCCAGAGTCGCTGCCCAGGCTGTCGCAGTCGAGCGCCGCGGCTGCGGCGCTGCCGCCGCGGCCGCCTGCGACTGAGGCCGCCTGCAGCGTCTGCGGCAGCGCGGTGCGGATCGCGCCGGGCGCGAAGTGGAGCGCAGGGTCGAAAAGGAGGTGGGGCGCGTAGCCCTGCAGCTGGTGAGCGGCCGCAGCTGATGCCGCGGCGGCCGCAGCCGCGGCCACTGCGGCAGCGGGGTCGACGTAGTGCCCTTGCGACCCAAGAATGCCCGCCGACGAGGGGACATCGCCGAAGCTCGCGCCGCCGAGGGCGCCGGCCGCCGCAGCGTGCAGCTGGCTGTACACCGCCGCATCCGCGCCGCCGCCGGCCGCTGCTGCGGCTGCAGCCGCGGCCGCCTGCTCGTACAGCAGGTGCGCCTGCAGCTGCCCGGGCCCGGCTGCCGCGGCCGCGGCCGCAGCCGCGACGGCGGCCGCGGCGTGCGGCTGCAGCTGCGCGGCCATGAGGAGGCGGAGGTCAAGCTGATCTGGCAGCTGGCCCCAGGCCTGCTGCCCGGCCGCCGCCTGGCCCAGGCCGAAGCCTGCCGCCGCAGCGGCGGCGGCGTCCGAGGTCGCGGCGGGGCTGCGCGAGTGCGCGTAAGGGTGCGCTGCGGCGGCTCCCGCGAGCCCGAGGATGCTGGACTGTAGATCAGCGGGATTGGGCTGCTGCTGCTGCTGCTGCCGCAGCGCCTGCGTCCGCGCGTCCGCCTCTTCCCGCTCCCGGCAGGCGGCGAGCAGCGGCGCGTCGCCAGCCAGGGATGCGTCGTCGCCGCTGCTGGCGCGCAGCAGCTGTGGCCGCGTCTGGTGGGGGCCCGCGGGGCTGCCGTCGATGCTTTGAGACAGCAGCTGGTCCAAAGGGCTGAGGCTGCTGTAAGCGGCGTCCTCTGAGCCTGCAAAGAGTGGGAGTTGGGGAAAGCGCGGCGAGGGGAAGGGAGGAGAGGTGAGGGTCGGATATCAGGAGGGCAGGGGGACGGGACTGCGACGGGGGCCTATCGCTGGGTGAGCCTGAGTCTGGGGCGCCGTGCGACACGGGTGGCTGACACGCCAAACTGCTTACCAGTCGGCGCGTGCGGCATACGCCGTGGGCTGGAGGTCTTGGGGCGATCCATCGCGCCGCGCCTTGACGCGGGGCTCATAGCGCGCCGCTCGCCCACATATGGCCGCTGCTGCTCCTGGTATTGGTGGTGTTCCTGCTGCTGCCAGTTCGGCAGGCGCGCCATGTAGTCAATTGGATACGACGGGGTGGCCGCATGCATGAATTGGAACTCGTTCATCAGCCGCACCACCTCATCCAGCGAGGCTGCTGCCGCCGCCTTTGCGGCGAGCCCAAGGACGTCTGTGGGGCAGGGTGGGGTTGATGCGGCGCGGCGGCGGCAATGACTAGGTGGCCAACGCGCCGAGCTGCTCGTCGGCAGCGGCAGCAGCGACGGCAGCAAGACCGTCCCCGTAAAGCCCCAAATGCAGAAACATTATGTCTGTCGAAGCATCAACACGCATCACGACAGGCAAGGGGCGACGTTGTCCGCGCGTCAAGGTGGTTGATCGCGCCCCTCGCCCGCCCCGCGGGACACACCTTGACAGGCTGACATATTGCTCATCTGTCTACTATTGTAACCAGTGGCGCCACCGCCACCGTCAGCGACTGGCCATTCGCCAGTGATGGGGGCAAACCGAAGCCCGCCTTTTCGCAAACGACCTGCTCTATAATTTCTGAGCGACGTATAAGCTTGACCGTGTTTGCAAGGTGACCATGCACTCTCTGCACTTTGACACACAAACCGAAGCTCGCTGCTGCTGCCGTCGCCTGTCTACTTGCCGGTAGGATCAGTTATTGCGACTAGGCCGCCGCCACCAACAGCCACCCCTTGTGCAGGCCAGAGTTTGTGCGCCTGTCCTTGAAACGTGTGCCGACATGGGCTAGCGACGGCTGCCCGGTTGACATGGCTAGTAGGGCACTGCCAGTCAGTACGCTTGTCAGTTGTCACACCAGGGACACCGCAGCTGCAGCCGGGCCGCACAGGGCGTAGGACCCCACAAACCGATGTCCGTGCAGACACTTGCACTCGGATCCACCACACTGATTGCGTACCAAAGATCCATGCAGGTAGCCTTCACCGCTGTGATGTCATGCATGTTGCGCCCAGCCCAGCAAATGTCTTGCTTCCTCTCTTCACTAGACCCGCTTGCAAGGCCAAGGCTGCCGCGTGATCACTGCACTGCAAAGCTGCGGTTGTAATTCTCCCCAGTCGGCCTGCCCTGCCCGCCATCGCTCGCAAGTTTTCAAGATACACCTTACAATCTGGGAACCCTGCGCCGCGCCCCATCGCTGAGAGTCGCACTCGTACCACGCAGGGCGCAGGTTGCCTGCAGGGGTCTCGCAGTTTGCCCCCCTTTTTGTCCACACACACAGTTCAGTCTTTGGCGGTCCCACCGGGCACGCAGAAACATGCCAACACTCTTTGGCGGGGACGGAGGGAGGTCACCCAGACACCCCCTAAAAAGACAGGCATGATTCTGGGCCCGTCGATGTGATGTGTCGAGGCAGCGCCAGCCGCGGCTTTCAGGGTGGGTGCGGCTGGGACATGCACACACATATGCTGTTGGAGCAGGATTCTAGGGTGCGCGGCAACCCCGGGGCCGCGCGCGCGGGCGTCGTACGCACCGCCGGCAGGCAGGCGCGGCGCTCGGCGCACGCGCACTCAGGGGGCAGGGGCTGCTACGTGTGCTGATTTGAAAGACGAGCCGTGCTGCCGGGACAAGCCTGCACGGCCGTAGCATGGGGGCGCTAGTGCTGCAGCGCCAGGGCCATGCGGCCGACATCGACTTGGGCTGCGTTGTGGTGTCAGACCGTTCGGGCACGCACGCCTGAGTTTACGAAGGCAAACCGAGTGCGGAGCAAGTAGGCAAACGGCAGGCACGCGCAGCTGGCGACCGCACGCGACGCTGCATCACACAGCCGAGGGGAAACTTTGATGTGGGGTGCAGTTGGGGCCGCCGCGCGACGGACGGCGCCGCGGCGGCCCGTCTGGCAATACTCAACCGCCAAAAGGCAATCAGTACCAGGGGCTGGGACCGCCGGCGCTCGCACCCGGGAATGGGATCTCCGACAAGCAGGTGGGGCGGGCAGGCGCATCCGCAGCCACATGCAACAGGTGTTGGGTAGTGGGTTCACAGCGTTATTCCTATATGGGACAAGAATCCCCGGGCTAGGACCCACTTTCACGACAGAGGCCGGGCGCCGGCGCGCGCACAACCCAGCCTGTCGGCGGCGCAGGGGCGGCGAGGGCGCACTCGTGTGGCACAGGGGCCTCGGCAGTGGATTTGAGGGTCCTGAGGCGGCAGGCGCGCTCTGCGCGTGAGGTGCGGCGCGGGAGGCGATGGCGCGCGCTGCAGAGGGCCTGGCACGGGGTTGTGCCAGGGTGGGGGACGCAACCAGGTGCATGCAGGGAAGCGGAAACGCGGCCTGGGCAGGAGGGCGGCAACATGACGCCACCGAGGCAGCAGAGAGGAAGCAAAAGGATGCAGGGGGCAACACATGTTGTTGAGCCATGGTGATTTTCGCGCCCTTCGGCGCTCTTAGACCCTGCAGCCGAGGTCCACGACAGCTGTCGAGTCGCTTCAAAAAATGGGGCGCAGAGGGGATTATAAAGGACCCTCTGCAAAGGGCTTAAGGGGGTAGGGGAGGGGGGGCGGCGCATGCAGGCGGCCCAAGACGAGGTGCCCCAAGCCAGCCGCCGAGAGCCCATGCAGGTGGGCTCTGCAGCATCATGCAAGGAGG